TTTTTTTTTTTTTTTTTTTTTTTTTTTTTTTTTTTTTTTGCTTTGAAATTCTCTGGCTGCTTAAAGGATCAAATCTCAACTTTGCTCACTGTAGCAGCATAAGCTAATCAGAAAAATAACCAGCACGAATATTCTTTTACCCTTAAGAGGGAAAGGAAGAGTTAAGTTATATTTTAATTAGATATTTATCATGGTGGCAAAGCAGCTCTTCAAGAGAAGTTTTAAGAAGTTGGCCGTCCTTCTAAGGCATAACTGTTCAAATTATCCTAAAAAGAGGCTGTATATCAGTTCAAACCAGTTTGTGGTAAATTTACAACTGGGTTCTGCACAGCAGATTTATATCAACAATTAAGCAGAAGGAAAATGGGTCATAAATTTTGGCTGGCACAGTCCAGCACCAAAGAGAAGAAAACAGAATGGTTCAGCCAGATCAGAAGTCAATAATTTCAATATAAACTGCTAAAGCTATAGCAAGGGCAATTTAAGTGGAAAAAGTTTTTTTTTCCTTTCCCACCCTTTTTGAAGTTATAATTGGAAATATATATGTATATATATATCTCTCCAAACAACGGTCTTTATCAGAAAGTTGGTATATGTTTTTTAATTTTACAAATGGTATAAATCGTTTCCTGCTTCTCCACTATAGAATTTAATGATTGCACCTCCACTACTGAATTTAATGATTGCACCTCCTCTTCAGTGTGACAAAGATGACACGGGGAACAGAGACTTCTCCGGGAGCTCAGGAACTTCACACAGGCAGGTGCTGTGGTCTGAATGTGTCCCTCAACTCAAATGTTGAAAATGTAATCCCCCGATTTATACGGCGATGGTATTTGGAGGTGGGGCCCTTGGGAGGTGATCAGATTTAGATGGAGGAACACTGAACTGGATCTGAGACTGAAGGTTCAGTCTGGATCAGACTGGTTGGGACTTTTTTTTGGTACCGGGGATCAAACTTGGAATCTTGCGCTTGCGTGTGAGGCAGGTGGTGATACCACAGCTAAATCCCTGGCCCTGGTTTGGACTTTTTAATGCCTACAAGGAACCCTTGAGGTCTAGCCGAGGTATCAAGAAAAGGGAAGATCTACCAGAGCACATTTAAAGGAAATAATTGGAGAAAACACTGAAATGTGTCAAGTTTGGACCTCACTTAGTTCACTCTGCTCAAAATCCCAGTTATACAGCTGTCCTGAGATGACCAGGGAGACCCTGCCCAAGAAGGATGGGGCACCCCAGGGAAAGCAGAGCCAAGAGAAGGCAGCCAGTCAACCGGGCGTGAGCTCCTGGGTCAAGCGTTCCCACAGGCAGCTCTAGGAAGTCACTACCTCCAAGAACCAATCTGGGTCTAGTTTGCTACACTGTCCTAAGTATGGATACAGTGTGCATATCCGTCCATTCTCTTGGGGAAGGATGAAGCCCTCAGCAGATGTCCAGAGGGCACTGCGGTAGGAGGAAATGGCTCAGGGAGAAAAAACTCTGGAGGTTGCATCAGTGATCTCATTGACAAACACAAGGACAGGTTAAGGGGCAGCGGATGTTCTCTGGAATGTCACAGAACAGCTATACCACAATAGCCGTCTGCATAGGGAGGATCTGGAGCCCCGAAGCTGGCATTAACTGGCACTCAAGAAATATTTGTTGAATGGAAACCAGCAGGAAAATTATAACAAGTCATACTTTACATGCAAATTTTCAGGAATATTTTCAGGAAAATATCAAATGTGTGAACAGCTAATCTGCATTTCCATGTCCTGACAGATGGCCCAGATTAACAGAGCTTTGATTATACAAAAATTTTTTTAAAAAGAGAGAAAAGAGAGCCTACAAATACTCCCTGAATAGGTACGTATTGTGAGTGAGGCTATACAAAGCAACACTATGGTGACTTTCAAATTTATGTTTCTAAAAAGAAAACTTCTCTGTATTCTTATTTGTCAAAGACACCAAAATGTTACCCAGGAAAGAGAATGAGCGGAGCCCGCAGGGCTGGGGCAGGGCATTGGATTCTCAGAGGAGGCCCCTGGGCCCTGAGTAGGGACCACCTGCTTTGGAATCGTAGGAGATCTTTATTGCAATGCAGGTCCCTGGGGCCCAGCCCAGACTCATGCAATCAGAACCTCTGAAGGCAGAGCCCAGGACTCTGCATTTTAACAGTCTTCCTATACGGTTTTATGTACTTTAAAGTTTGAAAGCCTTTTCTTGCTGCAATCAGTTTATTTGCCAGTGGGGTCTCCTCAGTGCCTTGGAACATGGGACATGATCCCCGGAAAGAAGCTGTGATCCTAGGCTGGGAGACTGAAGGAGCCAGGGTTTGGGGAAACAGCGTCACCCTCCTTGAGATCAGAGCCAGGTCAGTCCCACTGGAGATAAGCGGCTGTGTGCACACTAGCACACCCAGACATGACCACATGTGGAGCCAGATGGCATCTCCTGGGGTTCTGCGGCTCTCCAATGATACCACATTCTGGACTTGATTGTTTTCTGCCTCCTATTGCCCTGTAGGATCTAATTTGGAAGAGAGATATTGTTTAATAGCTGTTACATTGTTTCTCAGTTGGTCACTAAATACCCTCTGGGTGAAAATCATGGCTTCTACCTCTTGAAGCCTTTGCCAGGTTCCCCTTGCCCAGCCTTCACCATATCTGCCGGGTACCAGGCACTTGTTGGATGCTTCAGTGACCTTCCTCTAATCTGTCTTCTGGTTTATTCATGTCTGGGGGCCTTGTGTCCCTGTGCAGCCTTCCTGGGACCCACCATATGCTTCCTCCAAGAAGTTGCCCTCCCAAGTCCTTGGTCATTGTGTTTGGGTATGATCAACCCTGGCTGGGCCCGTACGTGTCCCCAGGCCCCTGACCATGACAATTGGCTCCTGAATGGGCAGTTACCTTACATTACTATCAGAGTGACCTTTGTGACTCTTTCTGGGAATTTGAGGCCACAGATCCTCTCATTCAGTGTCAAGGAGCAAGGAAGTATGTGGCCATAGACATTGTTACCAGGCCTCCCAGGGCTTTCAGAGGACAGCATGATTGAGAATGAGCCACACAGGAGGTACATACAGGGACTGGGAGTAGAGAAACTCAGATCTGAGCACATCTTTGAGGCCTGAATAAAGGTCTGCCTAAAGCCACATCTCTTCCTGAATTGTGCAATAATTTGTACTCATAGAAACAAATTTATGAATTTATTTTTGTTTTGTTTTGGTTTTGCTAGAATGGTTTTGAGTTGGGTTTTCTTACGTGTGATGAAATGAACCCTAATGGATATGCCTTGTGACTCTCCTTTCTCTCCTGCAGTAGTAACGTGCCCCAATCATCTTGATTCCTCCATCCCCTCTCGATTTAAAGCAAATGTTAAATAATGACATATGAAACAGGATACAATAGGGCATAGGATTATTGGGATTCATGGCTTGCAGAAACTCCATGCCTGAAGAATATTGATGAATGGATCAATGTCAATCTGAGGAAAGCCCTGTCCTGCTCAACATTTTAATCAGTGACTGGGATGAGATGGGAGACATGCCTGGCGAGTCTCAGGTGACACAAAGCTGGAGGACCTGCTAATATGACAGATGGGGAAATCAAGATTCAAAATTATTTTGACTGACTTGAGCAGTAATAAGGATAAATATGAACTCTCGCATAGAGGCTCCGAAGATCAATCGTAGAGCAGAGAGCTGGGGAGACCCAGCTTGGCAGTTGTCATAACAACACAGAACTTGGGCTCAAGTGGAGCCAAAAGTTGAGGCAATCAGTGACACAGTTATGCAGCTTTCAAATATTTAAAAACATATGGAAAATAATGCCGAACGCAGCAGGATAAAAAAGTGACACTTTCTGGGAAATAGTTTTCAGCTCATTGTATTAAAGTTTTTTTTCTAATGGAAAGAAGCCCCCTTCCAAAATTACGCATGCAGGGCTGGGGATTTAGATCAGTGGTTCCGCTGCCTGCCTCCCAAGCGCAAGGTCCCAAATTCAATCCCCAGTATCAAAAAAACAAACAAACAAAATTACGCAGGTGAGAGTAACCATGTCAGGAGGTGATGCGGTCTCTGATGGGGGTTTGCCCCATAAAGCACACGTTCTTTTCCTTTTTCTTTTTCCTCTCTCCCTCTCACTGTCTCAGTACTGAGGTTTTAAATTTGGGACTTCACTCTAAGCTACATCTCCAGCACTTTTTAAATTTTGTAACAGGCTCTTGCTAGGTTATTAAGCTGCTCAGTCTAGACTTGAACTTGCAGTCTTCCTGCCTTAGCCTCCCAGTTACTGGGATTGCAGGCATGAGTCACCATAACTATCGTAAAGCACAGCTTTGGGGGCCGGGGATTTGGTTCAGGGGTTCTGCCACCTGCCTCACAAGCACAAGGTCCTGAGTTCAATCCCCTGTACCTAAAAAAGGATGATCTTTAACAATTTATGGGTCAAAACACTTCTGATGTAACAAACATCCAGAAAAAGCCATGTGGTGGGAAAGGAGCTCAGCTCAGCCCCAAGAAAGGGCTCTGGGCCCCCAGAGGCAACCTCCAGAATCACATGGACCGTGGCCAGTCCACCCTCCTGCACCATAAGCACCTCCCCACTCTGAGTCTTCACGCTTGCTCCGGCTCAGCCTGTCCTTAGGTCACTGTCCCTTCCCTGGGGTCCTCTTGTCTGCCTCCGTCCAACTGCAGCACCCACAGTCAGAGGCTGGGCAGCCACACCTTCTTCCCAACCTCTGCCCGCTCACCCCTGTCCTTCCTGGCCAGTCTCCTGGGCTGTCCTGTGACAGACTGCGTGCATCATTTGTCTTTCCCAGTCTCTCTTTCCGAACGCTCCATTTTCTTGGCAGCCCAGAGAGATGGAGCAGCAGGCCACAGCCCTACTTCCTTGTAGAGACACTGAGTGTGGTTCTGGCAAGGTGTTAAGAAGAAGCTTCCCCCCTAGTGACACCGAGTTCTCTGGACGCCGGAACTCACCTGCCTCTCCTGGAAAAGGTCCACCTCTCTCAGCAGCCTCTCCTGGCAGTCTGGGTTGGTGGCCAGTAGGTAGGTGGCGAAGGAGAGCGTGTTGGTGACAATCTCGTGGCCGGCGATGAGGAACAGGAAGGCTTGGCCCACAATCTCATCCACAGTCAGTGGCTGGGACAAGGGCCGGGGCTGGCAAGGTGCAGAGGGGTTCGAGATGCGTGCGGCAGAGGAGAGGGCTTCTTGGACAAGGTCGAAGCTGTCCACACCCACGGAGCTGGTGGAACACCGGGCGTCCAGCACCATCTGCAGGAAGTCTCTTGGCCTCTGAGGACAGGAGGGGACAACACACATTTGGGCCCTGGGCAAGGCTTCTTAGGGGAGAAAGGAAGGAGACATGGGTGTAGCTTGTAAAAACTACTGGACATGGCTCGTCAATGGATTATCTGCGATAGCGAGGTCCTGCAAGCCATCCAAATGGCCCTCGGTGTAGCACCAGTTTCACAGCTCTGGGGCAGTGAGGGGCAGACTGCAGCAATCAGAGAAAAGAGGAGTCTAAAGAGCTGGGAGTGTGTCTCAGTGCTGAGTGTTCACCTGGTGTGTGTGATGCCCTGGTTCTTTCCAGGGTCTCTCGCTCTCATTTTTTTTTTTTTTTTGGTATTGGGGATCAAACTGGGGACATTGTGCTTGTGAGGCAGGCAGCGGCACCACTGAGCTAAACCCCTGGCCCTCCAAGGTCTCCCTTAAGTTGTCTAAAGGTGGGACGCAAACTTGCAATCCTCCTGCCTCAGCTTCCCTCAGTGCTGGGCTTTCATGTATATAACACCATACTCTTTCTTCCTCTCCTTTCCTTTCATCCTTCCCTCCCTTCCTTTCTTCCTTTTTTTTTTTTCTAGTACTTCAGATTGAACTCAGGGTCTTTGCACCAAGATATATTTTTTATTTCGAGACAGGGTTTTGCTAAGTGGCTAAATTGTCTAGGTTGGACTTGAACTCATGATCCTCCTGCCTCAGCCTCCCAGGAAGCTGGCACTGAAGGCATGTGCCACAATGCCTGGCTGATTTCATGCTTTTTTATGGCTGAGTCATACTCCAATGTGTACATGTACCACACTCCCTTTGTTCAGGAGGAGGCCATTCTGTCTGGGCTGACCTGGAAGGGTGTAGCATCACTTTGTTAAGTAAAAGAGCAGCACGCACAGAGAGATTTCATTTCTGTGATACCCGTAAGTGTGAACAGGTACAATTATGTACATCTGTCCGTATGAGGAGAATATTAAGCAACACCTACCCTCACCCATTTCCAGAGAGCCGGAGGAGGTGGGAAACCAGGGCACATTCAGTTTTGACTTTCTACATGTTTGCTCTGTTGGTTGATTGTTTTTCTACCAGCAAAACAAGAAAACATCTTATAGGTTTAAATCGGAGCGAGCACATGCTCTCTTGTTCTTGTGCACAGTTTGGGGCTGTTGTGGGCAGCCTGCAGTCTCTCCCATGTGGCAGTCAACAGATTCAGGGTGTGGGAAGCTTGCTCGGTGAAGCTTGTCTTTGAAGCCCCCAGATTTAGTGCATTCTCCTTTCAATGAGTCCCCTTTTTTCTCAGTCATCCCCAACCCCATTTAAGTAGCTAGAGCTTTCTAACCATTCCCCCTACCTTTCTTATCAGTCATTGGCATGCTTTTTATATTTTTATGACCACTAACTCTAAGTATAGAGGTGTTTGCGTATTGCTTTAGCATTAACAAAGTGTATTCCTGGCGCATGCCTTCTTTGAAATGCCCTTTAATGTGATGAACAGCAACCAAAATGTTGCTCTTTTCTGAAGTTTATGGGATTAAAACAGCAAAAGAGTCTCAGAACCTCCAACAGGGAAATATTATAATTTCAAAGTACTAGTTGAAGCATTTTTCAATTCATTGGCTTCTGAATTTCTATTACATGAATAATTTATACCATGCGCACTGGCATCCAACTCCATCTTTTCAGGTTTGTTTTTTTTTTTCCTTTGAGACAGGATCTTGCTATACAGTCCAGGCTGGCCTCAAACTTGCAGCGATCATCCTGTTCCAGCCTCCTGAGTACTGGGATTACAAGTGGGTGCCTGCAGCCTGGCAAGTCCATTTTTTCAGACTGCTGTCATCTCATGTGTGTTACTTTTTCTGTATCATGAGATAATAAGCATCCTTCAAACAGGACCCTAACTCCTGTCTGTGCCTAGCACTGTGCTGAGCACAGGTTAGATATGTAACCTGTCGGGAGCAATTCTACATAATTTTTGGGAAAAATCATGACTAGGGCCTAGTTTTTCCGCCTGTAGGCCAGCTCTGGCATGTCGAGCCAAAATTCCATCTTCGCCTCCAGTCATAGCTAAGACTTCAAGGGTCCCTGAGATGCTGTGATGCTCCACAGCTGGACTCCACCAGCTGGAGACATCCTGGGAGGAAGGGAATCTTCATCTGCATAGTTCCTCATTGTTCTAGGACTTCTGCTGCCCCCCACCCCAGTCTCCTGTTGCAGTCTGTTAAGTTTGTTTCCCCCAATGTACTGACCTCTCTGAAACATTGGTTACATTTGTTTCTCCCAGTGTGCCGGGGTGTTGGGGATAAAGGTGTGGCAAGCTCTGCAGCTTCTGTCCAGAGCAGCATGGATCAGGCCCAAACCTCAGCAGGAGACTAGGACTTACTGCTGAGGCTCTAGTAATGTCCCCTTTCCCTGCTCCCTACGTAACCAATAACTGCACAAACCCAAATGCAGAGCAGTAGATGCATTTTGAGGAAGGCTGTGTCGGGTTTGATGACAATGGCACGCTGTTTAGAGCAGCAGGTTGGCTCGGGGCCTCTGCCGTACTGCTCCTTCCAGGCTTTGCAGCCCTAGAAAGCGTCTGCTTTCTACTGGGGCTCAGGGCTGAGGCTGTGGGCGCCGCTCACCTGGAGGCCAAGGCTTCACTTCCTGCCATCCTGTCCTGGCTGTAACAACCCAGAAAAAGGTGAAGGGTCAGAGATTATTGGCAACCTGCCCCACCCTGGCCCTGCTCATCACGGTGTCCCCACGGCCTTCCGAGGGCTATGTCGCCAGCATCCCCCACCTGCTTGGCCGCCATCTGGGTGGCTGCTGTGGCCCCATTGCTAGCTGTGCTGCCAAGGGGCAGAGCTGGGGGAAGTGCAGGATGGCACAGGATAAATGGGCATCTGCTGTTCCCAGGCTAGTGGATGCTGGCCCCAGACCTCTGGGGTAGGGCCTTTTGTATTTCCTTTCTCTCTCTCTCTCTCTCTCTCTCTCTCTCTCTCTCTCTCTATATATATATATTTCAGGCCAGCTCTGAACTCACCATATAGGCCAGGCTGGTAAGCCTCCTGCCTCAGGCTCCCAAGTGCTAGGATTATAGTGGACTGGCCCACTAAGACTCCTTGGGGTATAATACAGTGGACTCTTAATTCATTCTAGAGGGCTGGTTGTAACTCAAGTTGGTTAATTGAAGGCTCGGGCTCCTCTACACAGCCTTAAAGTCTCTCTCCTGCACACAGGCAGATCTCAGAGTCCTTAGACACTGGCCCAGGATTTCTCAACCCCACACAGGAAAGGATGTTGCAATGTTCCTTTCAGAACTCTTTAAGGGTTAAATCTGTATCTGAGACCACCTGAAAGCACAAGTGGCTGGCATTTGGGTTGTAACTCAAGACTTTGTAAATTAAAGCTAAAATTCTGGTCGTAACCCAAGTTGTTCGTATGTCAGGCTAGTCATAGCTCGAGGGCCCACTGTATGTGATACAGCTCCATTCGCTAAGGCTTTGTTGTAGCTTTGCTGGGTTGTGACTGGGGCAATGAGAGGGAAGGTCCAGTCATGCCTACCCTATGTATTGTCCCAGGGCAGGACTGTAGCTGGCATCTTTCCTTTTACCCCAGCTCAGCCAGGCTGCCCTAGGGCCAGAGGAGACCGAGAAATCCATCTTAACATCCCAATATGAGACCAGAGCAAGGGGCTGCTCTCTAGGGCCATGTGCTGGGGAGGGACGTTAGTGAAGACCGGGTGCTTTTAGTTTGCACCGCATCACGCAGGCGATCCGCACACTGCCCATGTAGGATGGAAACAGTGCTGGTTTATGATTGTATCCAAGAAAAATACGCACCCTGATAGATGTAGGTGTCTAATCCACCCATCGGCTAGGGCTTAGAAAAATATTTACCTTTTAACATCTGTGCAGTATTTTCCCTATGCAAGCACACATCTGCTTGATGGAATGAATGCAGAGTTCAGATGGCTTGAAAGCAAGTTTTCTTAGTAACCATATAGCTCTGTCTTCACACAGGCAGCCCTGGATTTGTGGTTGGGAGATTTTTCTCAGATCAACTCATTATTTGAAACAAATAGCTGTAGAGTTTATAAAAGGAAAAGCTCTAGGCAATCCTGGTAATTGGATCTTTAATAACCTCTCACCTCTTAGTAAGTCACTCAGTGCAACAGTTTTTACATTTTCAGCTTGATTCCACAGCCAGCAAGTCTCAGGGTAGGGGTGTGGTGTGTGAGTGTGGGTTGGGAGGAGGAAGAAAGCTTTCATAGCATCCCTTTATAGCAAGATTGAGGTTTCAGAATGGTTCTTTCTGGCCAGGCATGGTGACACACAGCTGTAATCCCAGAACTCGGGAAGCTGAGGCAGGAGGATCCCTACAGGGAGGCCAGCCTGAACTATATAGTGAGACCCTGTCTAAAAAAATAAAAGTAAATTTAAAAAAGAAAGAAAACCATGTCCCTTCTGGATCCAAACACACTTTCTACACAGTGCCCAGGGTGTGGGCTGCTCAGCACATCAAGCCTCTAATAGACACTGATTTCCTTTGTAGGCCAGTGTCTTAACCACTGCACCTCACGCCTGCCTCTGAGGCACGCAGCCTTTGAGAAGACCCCTTTCCATCCTTCCATTCAGTAACTTTCTCTCCCCCAAGGAAGCCCTTACAGAGCAGCATGTAGGTCTGCTACAGCAGACTTGGTGCTGCAGTGAGCTCCCTCATGCTGAAGGGTCCCACTTCTGTTCTTAGTGAGTTCGGTCAACAGATACTAAGCCAAGCCCTACTGTGTGCCAGGCAGAGTGGGAGTGCAAGGAGGGAAGAGAACTCTGGGTCTCTGGTGCAGGAGCTATCGGAGCAGCGCGCCCAGCCCTGTCTCGCAGACGTCCTCCCTAACGCAAGGAGCGCGGGCGTGACTGGCAGCCGCCCAACTCCTCTCTTGACATTTATGCTGTCCACGCCCTGAGACGCCGTCTTTGCATTTTTCCATAGAAATAATATGCTCAGAAAAACTGCAAGGGCACATTTACCTAGAAAGTTCTGGGCTGCTCTCCCCTGTGCTTGGAGTGGTGCTGAGCTGGAGCTGATCTGGGGCAGATTTCACCCTGTGCCCTGGGGGCCGGGGGGGGGGGTTCTCCTCTCTACCATCGCTCCCCCCTGCCCTGCTCCTTTCTCTTTCTGCCTGACGACCATCCCTCCCCACTGCCCTGCTCCTTTCTCTTTCTGCCTGACGCTCCTCTACCTTTTTCTCTGCTTTCTGCTGGCCCTGGAAAGCTCGGGGTGGTGGATTGCTGGGGGACCTGAGGTGTGATGTGTGGGCTTGGGAGGGGAGAGAAAGAAAAGAGAGCACCAAGTCAAATTGGGTCCCATTCCATTTCGAGGCTGTGCCCTATTAAAACATGTTACCTCTTCTGCTGCTTGCTGGTCCCGCAAGGCAATCCTGTTCCTAATGAGTTTGGTAAAAAAGCCATTCAGTTCATCTCGGTTCTTATTGGGTAGAATCCGGGCCAGTGGGACCATTATGGATGGAAAAGATACTAGAAAGAGAAAAACAAAAGTGCATTGCAAAGAGGGCGATAACAAACCACGACTAGTAGACTCCCATCACCAGGAAGCAAGTGTCAGCCTGGAGCTGAGTCACTGGGAGGGCCTGGCCTGACCCCTGGGGATTGCACCTAGGACTGAGGTCACAGCCTGCTGCATCTCTGCCCCTCCATCCACTTCCTGCACGTGGTAAGCACTCAATAAACACCTGTGTGGTTAACCAAGCCTCGCCTATAGCTGGCACTCAGCAGGACATCGCAGGCTTTAGATTGAGGTCACAGTCCCGATGTTAGGCCCCAGGTCCCTGTGTTTCTCGAGGATACAAGCAGTGTCTCACATCTTAGCGGAGGCCAGGAGCTCACTTGCTGTCTTAACTTTCCAGCCCATTGCATTTTCTTTCTCTGGATAGCTAGCCCCAGAGCCACCTGTGCTGTCCCTGAAAGCTGCCATGATCTCCCCGTGTGCCTCTTGCAGCCTGGGCCCTTTGTCCTCCAGGGCCTTGTGTATCAGGCTCATTTAATCCCCCTGGAGAGAGGTGCTGGGCAAAACCCCCCAGAATGGCCCTGGGGTGTGGCGTGAAGGCTGGATGGAGAAGTTGCTTGATCCCCACAGCTACCTCTCCTCCAGTTTCCATGTGGAGCTGATGGAGGGAACAGGAGCCCCCAGTGAACCTGGCTTAGAAATGGGGACAAAACTGGCTGAGGAGTGCGCAGAACTGACCAGCTCAGCAGAATGGCTGCAAATCATGGCCCTCGTCAGTGACAATAATTGCATCACTCTGATGCTTCCATAAAAGCAAGAAGATGGTAGAATTGGCCAGAGGGCAAAAACTCTCTTGTAAAAAAAAAACAACAAACAAAAAACAAAAAAAAACAAATCAATGGGCCAGTCTCCACAGTGTCAGGCCACCCAACCCATGACCTCTAGTTTATTACACTGTGGCTTCCGGTGGAGACAATTTTTTGCAGGGAAGAAAAATGCCCTAGAAAATGTAAGGCTTTGGGCTCTAGTTTTGGCTCTGCCTTTCCAAGCCTCAGTTTTCTTATCTGGAAAATGGGGACAAGAACAGTTTTTGGTTGCTTTGAGACAGGGTCTCATATATAGTTCAGACTGGCCTTGAAACTCACAGTGATACTCCTGCCTCAGCCTCCTGAATCCTGGGATTACAAGCCTGCATCACCATACGTGGCTAAGAACATTTTTCTTATGGGGTGAAGCCAGGACCGGCTGAAGTGATGCATGCACAGCACTCAGCATGGTTTGTCACTTCTCATGGTGACAGAGGCAGAGGGTCCTTGTGTTGGAGATAAGAGGCCCCAGACATAAGAAGAAAACCCTGGTGACTGCAGGAAGATGGAGTCTCTGGAGGGCAACTCTCAGAGACACTTGAGGTCCTTTCCTGGGTGGAGGGAGTGGAGTTCAGAGGTTCAGGGTCTGCAGCCCCCAGGGGCCAGGGTTGTACTTACAGATTAGGACCAGGAGGGGACTGGGGATGCTGAAGGCAAAGAAGTTCCTGCAGTGCAGCGCGAAGGGGTCCTCAGGAGACTTGTGAGAGTCCACCTGGGTGCCGAAGGCAACACTGGCCACCACGTTGGTGGTGTATGCACAGTAGCACCTATGGAGACAGGGACACTTGAGTTTCGAAGGGTGCTGGCCTTGGCTCCCCACAGTGCACCCCTCCTGACAAAGCCAGGCACCCCATCCCCCAGAGGAGCTTCCTGCAGCTCTGCATGGGAGGGTAAGAGCCAAGCTGAGGGCTGAGCAGCAGTAGAAGAGTATGGGAAGAGATGGGCACTCCGAGACTGAGGCAGGGGGACGGCTATGAGTTCAAGGCCAGCCTGGGCTTCATAGAGAGCTCAAGAGGAGCCTGAACTATACAGTGAGGCCCTGTCTCAAAGAACAAAATAAAAGAAAATGGGAAGGGGTGAAAGCCACAGAGCAGCGACGTGTTCAGGGCATCACTGCCTCAGTCCTCAGGCTTCTGGTGGCCTTAAACTGACAAGCAAATACCAAGACGCATGCTGAATACCGTTCTTCCTGTGAGGGAGGGGAAAGACCAGACCCAAAGGCTCTGGGTTTTACCCCCGAGCTGCACATGCGAAGCTCACCTCAGGCCAGGATCTATTGATTCATTGACATCCATCAAACTGGCATTGATGAATTATCCCACCTGATTATCTAGTTTTATTAACTTAACTCCTTGTGATTTTACAGTTTTTAAAAAGAGCAACAAACAAAATTAACAAGGCTCTTCACACTCAAATAAATACCAGACAGGCTTTGCGACAGGCCTTGTGATCAGATATATATTATTATGGCAACGCACACCACACTTTAGAAACAAATACAAGGAAAAGTATTCGCAGTAGTGCCAGAATACCTAACCTCTTTGCCGATAGAAAGCCTGTCCCATAAGAAGCTGTTTTAGACTACAATTATTCTTTTTGGTTTTCTTACAGAATAGTCAGATGAAGCTCTTTTTACAAAGGCTAACAACTGGGGTGTTAATATCCTTTTATAATTACAAGGTCTATTTTTGTCCTGAGTGCAGGCACATGTTTAGCTCCCTTCTACACCAGTGACACAGCCACCAACTTATTAAGGAACAAATGTCATTTGCAGATGATTTTTAAAGTTTGGTCTGCTTTTATTGAAAACCCTTCTACAATTGACCACACATTTCCTCACTACGATAAAAACAAAAACAAGGCTCCTGAATGTGAGTTCTTCTAATGGTTGAACATTTCAGGGTTTAAAGAGTTGTTTACTTGGCTTTTATAGCCAACAAGGCCACCTTCTCTTTAGCCAACCCGTGCACTCTACAAACAGAGTGTGAATGAGAAGGCGTGGTCAAAAACGTGGTGTATATAAAAGCTGGCAGTGATTATGAGTCAGCTTCCAGCTGATCTAACCTCCCCATCCTATTCATTCCTAAGCTGCCATAAGCCATGTTTGGCACAAAACAATTAAAGGTTTCTAGGAGAAAAGCCAGATAATCAGCCATTCCAACTTGGTGTCCACCCTGGCCATGGCTTGTATAAGAGATGCCCCATGATTTTCCTAGATGTAAAAACGCAGGACATTTTGTGGGTCCCTGTCCTTTCACCCAGACATGTACTGCCCATCGAGGGGCTGAACGGGTGAAAGGCCAAGTCCACCCACGGATAACCACTGCCTACGCGAGCTTTTCTCTGCAGGCCACACAGCTCTGGGCTTTGGCCACTTCCATTTTCTGTTTTAAGTGAATCTCCCTTTTTCTCACGAGTTGATCCATCCACGCTTTTATGAGATCCTAGCATTTCCAAAGCTTGCTGGGCCCAAGAAAATTGTCCAGCAATTATGTGTGTTACCAAAAGCAGCTGTTCCAAGCTGTGACTTCTCATCTCAAAGGTAGGCCCTTACCTCTGGATGTTGCAGGCATCCCCTGATTCTGCACAGCATCTTAAATGAGCCAGGAGAAGGTCGCAGGCTTGGCTGATGAGGGGCATCATCTGATAATGGATAAGAAAGGAGTAATTAGAGTGTCAAGCAGGGAGTGTGTCTAATTTGGCTGTATTCAGGGCTTTCTGGAAAAAAAAAGGACTTTTTTGGGAGCACCTTTCATACAACTAAGGAGGAAGTTTTAAAACTGACAAATATTTGTGAAATACAATAGCAGTAAACATCTATTTTACCTTAAGCAATCTTTTTTGAAGGGGGAGCAAAAAAAGAAGAAAGGATTTCAAATAAATATGGTGATATAATTATGAAAGTGATTATTAGGTGCTAACACAGAACCGAGAATTGGCTCAGTCTCATGACAAATGCTTAACATTAAAATAAATAGACCACACTCCAAATGCCCTGTTTCTGGAGTTAACCCAAGTCCATGTTGTGCCAATTATACTTTAGATCTTCCATGAGAACACAGAATCTTTGTATATAAAGGAAACCAAGGTCATCCATTTCAGCTTCTTAATTAACCCAGGAATTATTTTTAGAGCATGCCTGATGGATGGTTATTCATTTGTGCTTAAGCTACTTGAAACTTCAAATACTGGATAACTCTTGACCTCAAGAAAGAGTCTATCCCATGCATAAAAATTGTTGGTTTCTTTTTTAAATATTAAGATATTTATAATACAGAAAATTTCAAACAGAATGGTGTAATGAATATTCATGCAACCATCACTCAGGTCAACAAGTTTAGACCTTGATTTTGGCTGGCTACCTGTCACTTTGCTTCAGCGGGTGATCTCCATGTGACTTTTTATTCTCTTCTGAGTGTGGCCAACCTGGTAGTGTGGAGGAGAATCATGCACTTTCTAGAACAGGGCCCTGGTTCGAGCAAAGTGCTGTCATGCACTGTTCTGAGCATCTCTTACAGAAAACATTTTGAAATGTTACATATGTTTAGATTTTACTATTTTGACACCAGAATATTACATTTCTGAGTAGAAGGAAGGTTTTTGTGCATTCATTTTTCTATCTTCAGAACCTAAAATAGTACCTGGCACATATTAGTTATTTGTTAAATAAAGGAGTGAATTTTACTGATGACACAACACCTACTTTTCGATTTGAAAATCTTGAAGCATTGGGGGAAATGCTATAAAAATCAATCTTCTTATCAGAATGTATGTTAATTTTGTCAGAAGCAAAATCTGGCTCCCTGTGCTATTACTTGGGTGTTCACTGTCCTCCAAGGTACATGTGGCAAAGACTGGCTGAGGGGGCCACTACTAGGAGGTGGAGGGGCCTTTGATGGATGTGGCTTAGTGGAAGGTCTTTAGGTCACTGAGGTGGTGGCCTTAAAGGGATGTGGGGCCAAATGTCTTCCTCATTCTCTCTCTCAATTTAATCATGAAGAAAGCAGGCTCACTTTGCCCTGATGGGCCCTTATGGGCTCCAAACAATGGGTGCAACCAACCACTGAAGGAAACCTTTAAAACTGTGAGCCAAAGTAAACCTTTTTTCTTTATAGGTTGACTATTACAGGCATTGTGTGTTATAGTGACAGAGAGCTGACTAACACCCCCTCCAACAATTTACTCATTTCATTTCTGTCCACTTTCCTGTGACAGTGGCCCGGCACCCAGACAGCAATATCCATCTCTCCAAGACAACTGTCCTCCATCCCTTCAACAGATTCTCTGACCACACGGTTTGCACACAACTCTATTCTTATGACTCCTTTATTTTTTAATCGGTCACTCCTAAAAAGCAGCTGCATAAGTGGAACATGGTACTCTTTCAGGTGCTGTGCAATAAATGGAAAATGAATCACTTCCTGTGAGCTGTACCCTGCAGTCATTGCAAGGCCAGGTTTACACAGACTTCTTCAGAAGACACATAGCACAGGTGAACGTGGTTCAGGTCAGTCAATGAAAACAATAGGGTTTTTCCCCATGAATCATAACTGTGCACAATTGATTTTCCTTTTACCCTTTAGGGTCCATTTACTAGAAAGGTTCCATATTTGCATTGCATTTACTTCTGTAGAAACAGCTGCCAGCCATGTATTCTGAGCAGAACGATCTCTAACCTACCCTAGAACCTTCTGGTGTTTGGAAAGCTAGGCAGAGGGGAATAGTTTGGGAGGCTGTAGGGGGGCTGTGGGGGACATGTGGCTTTGCTGAACCGCTGACTTCCACAGCTCCCTGCAAGCCAGCCCTGAGGGCTCTGTGGTGTAAGGAAAGACCTGTGTCCAAGGATCCCCGTTAACTACTCTGCTTGGGGCCATCCGTGGACGATGGGGCATTGGCTGGTTCCTCCTTGTCCGTCTCAAAGGTGGTAAATGTGCCTTCCAAGTCTTTATTTAGATTGTGGCTGTGTGGACAAGGTCAAGTACAGACAGCTATCTATGTTAGGTACCTGCAGGGATTGCATAATCCCTTGGTCAGCCATGCAGGAATCTAAATAAATACTCAGCCAGAGACCACCTGACCAGTAATTGGCTGGGGAAGACCTTGTAAGGTGAAACAGAAATGCAGGGTACCTCTACTCCCTGTCTTGAATCCTACTCAAGAAAGAAATGAGACAGGCACAGTGGTATGCACCTATAATCTCAGCCTTCTGGGAGGCTGAGTCAGGAGGATTGCAAATTTGAATCCAGGCTGGGCAACTCAGTGACTTAGTGAGACCCTGTTTCAAAGTGAAAAATAGAAAAGTAGGGCTGTGATGTAGCTCAGGGTAAAGGCCTTGGGTTCAATCCTCACTACCAGAAAGAAAGAAAAAGAAGGGAAGAAAGGAGAGAAAGGGAGGGAAAAGATAAGGAAAAAGAGGGAAGAAAGGAAGAAAAAAGAAAGGAGCATGACAGTCCTTATTTATTCTTTTTTTTTTGTACTGGGGTGCGGGTCCTTGTGCTTGCAAAGCAGGCCACCGAACTGCTGAGCTAAATCCCCGCCCCCACTTTTAAAAAAAATTCTTATTAACTGTGTTGACTTTTCATGACTGCTGCATTCTTTTCTAAATTCTCTCAAACCATCAATTTAATAATGTTCCAGTAAAGATCTAAATAGTTTCCTTTGTTTTTAAATTTTTTTTCCCATTTAGTTTATTGGTACATTTAAAGCAAACAATACAGTTACATTTATCACTGGGATCTTGTTAAATAGGTTCCTTTAAATGGCCTCTGGACCATCATTTCCAAAAAATCTCAGACTTCCTTAATGGTCAGATAACTTAGTCCTCCAAGACACATTTCTATGGCTGGCATCATTAGCAATATTCCTGCATTATTTAAATAAGCTTATTCTTGCAAGTGAACCCTATTTTAATAAAACCTCAGGCACCAAAATATCTTTCATAAGAATAGTAAGATATTAAACGAGCAAAACAAAAATACTAAAAGGAAGTTGGGCATGGTGGCAAACATGTGTAATCCTAGCACACTGGAGGCTGAAGCAGGAGGATCTCTGTGATTTTGAGGCCAGCCAGAGTTGCACAGTGAGGTTTAAAGCCAGCTTGAGCCACATCTTTAAAAAAAAAAAAAGGAAATACTGAAAGGAAGCCTCTTAGAAGTCAAGCTTGAAGGTTCCTAAGGTAACAAAAGAGATGCAGTATGAAATTTGATTTCTGTAGGACTCCTCAGAAACATGTCTTGTATATTAAGAGAGATAGACTTGCTCTGAAGCCAAGCAAAGGCTCAGACAACACAGAGGGGGTGGACCAGCTGCTGACCACTGGCTCCTCCGTGTGCTTCCGACCAGAAAGCTTTGTTACTGCCTGACGTGATCACAATTTCCTCCTCTCCTCTGCCTGCTGTCTGTTGAACTGAATGGATAATGGCATTTCTATTTGGGCTAATGTGATATGAGATGGGGCATGTAATATGAAAGACATTTTAAGGAGCAATGTGGAGAGCATATCACAAGACAGCAGAGCATGATCTGTATGCTGGCCAGTAGCCATCATTTCAGATTTTCCTCCTTGCCTCACAGCAGTTCTAGAATATTTACTCTCACATGAGTTGCATACAAACAAAAGCTCTCTGTGATGGGCTTGCATAGTCTTTATACAATCCCAGCCATTCTTCCCTAGGTTTTTGTACAAATGTGCATGCTCTAGTTACTACACAGTGCTGCTATCTCTCAGACCTTAATCGTAAGACTAATTCAGTTTTTACTTTTCATTTTCTTTGTACGATGATGCGTGATTTTCTTTTCATTTTTTATGGTACTGGGGATTGAACCAGGGCTTTCAAATTAAGCTACATCCCCAGCCCTATTCTAATATTTATTTTAAGACAGGGTCTCGCTAAGTTGCTAAGTTGCCCAGGCTGGGCTTGAACTTGTGTCCTCTTGCCTCTACCTCCGAGCGTCCTGGGATTAGAGGCCCGTGCCATCACATCCACCACGATGAGCATCAGCATACATTTATTCTTATTAGCACATAATATGGTGATATTAATAGAAATTTTAAAATGATTTCTTGGAGGTTGATATAGAATGTATGTTTGCGTCCCACCCTAAATTCACATGTCATTGTTCTAACTCCTCGAATAGCTGTATTTGGAGATAGGGCCTCTAAGGAAGTCATTAAAGTTAGTGAGGCCTTAAGTGAGGGGCCCTACTCTGAGGGAATGAGTGTCCTCATAAGAGGCACCAGTGTTCTCTGTCTTTCTCTCCTCTCTCTCTTGTTCTCTCTTCTTTTCCCTCCCACACAGAAGGAATAGGTCACACGAGCACACAGCAAGATGGTGGCCACCTATAACAGGAAAAAGAGGCCTCACTAGAAACTAACCATGCTGGCACCTTATCTCCAGCTTTGAGGCTGCAGATCTGTGAGGAAATGTCTGCTGGCTAAACCTCTTTTGTCTTGGTGTGACACAGTGTGATCTGCTCCAAACAGACTCCAAACGAAACACTTGGGATCCCCATTGGTTCTGCTTCATACTTGGCACGGCATGGAATCTCTCTGAGCTTGGGCCCTCATCTCAAGCCAGGATCTAGTCGCAATGAGCTGTGACATCCCTCTCTCCTGACGTACTAGGATTCCAAGTTGGCCACTGAGCATCAGATTAAAACCTTAGCTCGGCGGGCCAAGGATTTAGCTCAGTGGTATCTCTGCCTGCCTCGCAAGCAAAAGAAACCAAAAAAACCTTAGCTTGGGACCATGGAAAAAGGACCCAACTGAGCCTTAAAGTAGGTCACTGACTTCAGAAGACCTAAAAGGCAAACATTGTTATTTTTGTGCTCAAATAATTTTATGAAAGTGAGAATTAGAATTAGAGCCTGAATTCCCTTTGCCCTTCAATTCCTTCATTTCTAGATTATAATTTCATTCTAGGCATATCTGATGCTATGAATTTAAGAAAAAAAATACATCTGTTAATCTGTATGTATGATAGTTAACTTTATAAAGACATAAGATACATCAATCTGATGCTGGCAAGAAAGAAGGGTGGAAGGGAAGAGGGAGGAAATAGTTGAGATGTTATGTACATGTAAAAAAAGAAAGAAAAAATTCACCAATTTTAGGCGTTGCAAGTCCCAGAGTTTAGAGAATGGAGTCTCTCCGAGCGCCAGGGGAAACAAATTTCCTATGTAGGGAGGAGGGAGGAGAGGATCTCTCTTGAAGCCTGAGTGAGTCGCTCACTCACGCACAGAGAGGGACTCAGAAAGGAGTCCGAGTACAAACCGCCACCTGGTACCAAACATGGCCCCCGGCAGCCTGGTCCCCTTGGGGCTGCTGCAGAGAGGAGACTTTAGAGGTATAATTTGCACCTCTCCTTGTCTGCCCTAGAAAGATTTGCCCCATGGATCTGGGGACAGTCCGCCATCTGAAGAGGAATGCTCTTCCTACAGAAGACTTCTGAGCAGGTCAGTCCCTGGCTTCCAAGTATTTACTAGCTCCTGGCTCTCTAGTGGGGTACACACCCAACATTCCCCGGCACAGAGTGGCTGGCTCTGCGTGCCTCAACCTACTTTTCGCTTTCTCTTTCTCACTGATCCCTCACATCACACTGTGTTCCAGCCTGTTTGTTCTCCCCTGTTCCCTGAACACACCCTGTGCTGTTCTGTCCAGACGCCTTTGTTCCTGCAGCTCATCCACCTGCAGCAAACTCCCTCTGAAAAGACAGCAACATCTTCTGGGCTCCATGCCAGAATTCTCACTGTCCGCCCCCAAAGTGGTTTCTGATCCTCAAAACAGAACATGAACTCTGCCAGCACCTTCTACTATGTGGCCACAATGTGCTAATTTATGTACCTTAATTTCCCTTTGATATTATAAACTCCTTAAAGGTAGCAATACATAAGTATTTGTGAAAATATGAACTTAACGTTTTCTCCTCTTCGAGCTATTGCTTGTATCTGGAATGCCCCTCAAAGGCCCATTTATTAAAGGGTTGGCCCCCACTCCTTGGTGCTAATGAGAGAGGGTAGCACCTTTAAGAGGAAGAGCCCTAGATAGAGGTTGTTAGGTTGTCGAGGGTGTGTCCTGGAAAGGTATTAAGACTCCCTGGCCTCTTCCTCTTTCTATCTCTCCCTTCCTGGCCCTAAAGGGAGTGATTTTGCTTTGCCATGAGCTCCCACAAAGATGCGCTGTCCTCCATTCCCTACCCCAAGGAGAGGTCTACAAGCAATGTGTCCAATGGATCTCAGGCTGAAATCTCCAAAATGTGAGCCAAAAATCAGCCTTTTTCTGTTTATAAGTGGATTGTTTCAATATTTGTGGTAGAGATAGAATGTTGACCGACACAGTAGGCCTGTGGGCAATGTTGGTTTGGATCTGATGTCAGAGAGGGGATTTTCTGAATAAATAAGGATGAGCTATTGAGGGTGGGGGAAGGTATTTAAACATAGTGTTCCTAGGGGGGAAAATGGTAAAACAAATACCTTAAAGTGCTCCGAAATGGTGACTAACAAATGAACAATTAATTCTAGATAATGAAACCTCTCACTTCCTTCTTCCACAGTGCCAAAAGCCACCCAGACATTAAAAACATCCTAGAGTCATTTTTATACAAAATTTCCTGCTGATGAGTATCAGCTCTAGCCATCTAGGTGAATAATTAAGTGTCATTTCTTTTTTGGGGGGATTACTGAGATCGAACTCAGGACCTTGAACTTGTGAGGCAGACAGGGAAACCACTGAGCTAAATCCATGGCTCAAGTATCATTTCTAAGAAGTCAGTGACTTCTGTCAAGAGTTGTGACCAATTAGAACTCACTCAGATGAGGAGGAGGTTGATGGTGTTGCCAAGCAACCGCCAAGCTGTGAGGTACATTTAGATGCTCTTTTAGATTTAACCAGTGGCAAGGCAGAGTGACATTATGATTCTGGCAAAGGAAAGCCAAATTATAACACAGGATGAGGTACCCGTGATAAAGAGTGAGTTTTCTTTTAAATGCAAATGGAAAAGGAATGTTTTAACGAGAATTTAAACAGTCCATCATTATACCAATTTTAATTAGGAGATTAGGTGTCACTGAAATACAACTGTGTCGCAGGATAATGGTCTCTTGCTGCTAGATAAATACCTAGACATTCTGGAAAATGGGCAACTGGTCAGGCAGGGAAAATGTATTTTTGGACTCTGAAGTATTTATTGCCACAGCCACACTTGGTTATTATAATGACTTTCATTTTTATTGTTCTCAAGGATTAAGAAATAAAAGCAAATATTAAAAATAGACTGCTGGAGGCTGATTCTGCCTAGAGAAAACTGCTTGCTCTAATATTATCAGAAAACTGTGTTTTGCCTTAGAAGCCCTGGTTTGTGACTGTCTGAAGAGTTTATAGTGAAAATTTAAGGGCCAAACAAAACTGTGATGATGATTGTAATTCTGCAAGGACTTTTGCACTGAAATGGTTGCAGCTATGTATTTACTCATAAGCTGGTTATATCAACTTAAATTTTTAAAAACTGTAGTCATTCTTAAGCAATATGTCTTCTCTAAGGCAGGAAAGGCCTACAGGGAATAATAACCACATCTGCCTCTGCCTCTGAGATTCATACATTATTGACTGTGCCTCCCTGACAGGAAACATCTGGATGAAAGTGAAAAATTAGGCAGAGAGCTGGATTCTCAGAGCTGTGCAAGATGCCAGCCTCTCCTGTTTGTCTGATGTAAAAACTGGGTTCCTGTGCTCGCAGTATGATTGGCTCCTTTGCTGTTGACTAACACAGATATCTATAGGCACTCAGGTAGGAAGTTCCTGGGTCTCTTCTGTCTACCCAGAGGCCCAACATCAGTCCTTGGTTATTTGGGTGAATATGGAAATGGCCGCCATTTCTGTTGGGTTTTGTTGGACATTGAGTGTCCTCAAAGGCTTCTTTGTAAAGACTTAGTCTTCAGGGTGTCTGTTTTGAGCAGTGCTATGGACCTTGCAAGAGTAGGGCCCAGCGGGAAGACCTTAGGTCACTGGGGCAGGCCCTCAAAGGTATTTCTCTTGTATTCTGCTTTCTGCTTTCTTTTTCTTTCTTTCTTCTTTATTCCTTCTTCCCTCCTCCTCTTCCTCCTTCCTCTTCCTCTCCTCCTTTCTGTTTCTCTCCTTCTCCTCCTCCTCCTCTCCCACACACTCTGCTCCAGTTTGAGATGTGACCATTTGCTTCTTCATGAACTCCACTTTAATGTGCCACCATCTGCTACCCCCATTAGAGGTGAAACCAACAGTGCCATCCAAGCTTGAACTTTGAAAATTTTGAGATACATAAACTTTGAGCTACATTTCTCTTTATAAGTTACCCAATTTAGGTATTTTGTTGCATAACACAGCTGTAATATTGAGTTGGCTCCATGGCCCAGTCAGTGTTGGGCTTGGCCTCAGATTCTGAGCTAGAGGCATCAGAAAATGTGGTACACTATGGAAGTGACCTGCAAAGGCCCAATAGCCTCCTTTCAATAACCAACTATGAAGTTCACTACCCCCTTTTTTCACCTGTTTGAAAACTTATTTAATGGAGCCCATAATAAAAAAGTTAAACAGATTTCTTTATAAAAGGTCTTTCTTAAGCCCTTTAGTACATCAATCTCTATATCAACACACCCCGCCGCCTCTCTGTTTCTCTTTCTCTCTCTCAACTGAACCCAGGGCTTCATGTATGCTAGACAATCATTCTGCTACCAAGCCATCCCCCCAACTACAGTGAATCTCAAAGAAGATGGCTCACAGTATTTCACCAAATTATTTGACCACAAGAGCCTTTCATCCTCAATTCTTTCAAGTCCTTTTCTTTGGTAGCTGTCTTAGTCAGCTTCCCATCACTATAATAAGATACTTGCGATATTCAACTTCTAAAGAAAAAAGGTTTATTCTGTCTCTATTTTTGGATGTCCCAGTCTATGACTAATTGGCCCTACTGCTTTGGGCATGGAGTCAGGCAACAATCACGGCAGCGGTGTGTATCAGAGTAAACCACTCATTGCATGTCTGGGAAGTAAAGGAGTGGGAGAAGGGCTGAGGTCCCAGAAACCCTCTCAAGGGACCCCCAGTGACCTACAGGCCTCCCACTGGGCCTTAGAGACTCCACCCCCACCCAACATTGCCTCTGTGGGACCAATCCTTAAACACACGGACTTTTGGGAGACATCCAAAATCATAGCAGTAGTGATTCACAGCTCAAAGCTCCTCATCATACCAGCACACTAAGGCTGCTTTTCTTTCTTTCTTTTTTTTTTTAAATTGAATTTATTGGTACATTCTAGGTAGACAGTACAGTTACATTCATTACTGGGATCTTGTACCTTTACATGCCAGGTCTTGGTTCTCATTTTTTCCCCTTGTCCCCACCCTCCTTTCACCCTCCCCTCCCCGCTTCAAACACTTTAATTCCATTTTTACATATTTTTTTCCTTTTCCCTTATTCCCCCTTCCCTATCCTTCTCACTGTCCCTACACTTTTGGTCCTTTTCTTCCTATTTGCTAAGTGTCCTATTAGGATCTTGAGTACTATTATAGTTTTTCACACCAGAGATACTATTCGGTATTTGCATATGTGTGACTTATTTATTTCACTAAGAAATATATCCTCAAAATGTACCCATTTAACTATGAATGAATCTACTTTCTCATTCTTTATGGCTGAGTAGTATTTCATTTTGTAGAAAAACCACACTTTCTTTATCCAGTTTCCAACTGATGGGCAGATGGGCTATTTCCAAGTTTTAGCTATTACAAATTGTGCTGCTATGAACATGGGTGTGCATATATCAGTGTGATATGATTCTTTCACTTCTTTTGGAAAGATACCCAGCAGAGGGATGGCTGGGTCAAATGGAACCTCTAATCCCAGCTCTTTGAGGTATCTCCATATTGATTTCATAGTGGTTGCACCAGTCTGCACTCCCACCAACAATGGAGAAGGGTTCCTTTCTCCCCACAACCCCACCAACATTTGCTGTTGTGTGATTTCTTGATAGCAGCCATTCTTTGTGGGGTGAGGTGGAATCTCAGTGTTGTTTTCATCGAATGACCAGTGATGTGGAGCATTTTTTCATATATTTACTTGCTGCTTTTATTTCTTTGTCTGAGAAATGTCTGTTCATTTCAGATGGCCACTTTAGAATTGGGTCTTTATATTTTGGGGGGCTGGATGAGTTCTTTATATATTTTAGATAATAGTCCTTTGTCTGAGGAGCAGCTGGTAAAAAGTTTTTCCCACATTGTAGTTTGTCTGTTAGTTCTGTTGATGGTTTCTTTTGCAGTGCAGAAGCTTTGTAACAAGATGAGATCCCAGTTGTTGATTCTTTCTGCTAGTTCACTAAGGGTGCTTTTCTGCTCGGTACATGCCTTGATTCTGGATTACACTGAAGGTTACTTTTGAAGGCCACTTTTGTGCTGGTTGTCACCATCTTAGGAGAGTCTCTGAAAGTTA